GGAACCAAGGAGAAGTACTAGGGCTAGAATTGAGAAAACCTTTGGAGATGATTTCTATTCTTATCTGGTCGAAGGAACACAAACGAAAGTGACGAGAGAGGTCATCTTTTCAATTAATTTGGATGATGATCCTAAGACATTTACTGAAGCCATGACGTCTCGGGATGCTCCTCTGTGGAAGGAAGCAATCAATGACGAAATGGATTCAATTATGGGTAATGGAACTTGGGAGTTAGCTGATCTACCCAAGGGGAGAAGACCCATAGGATCCAAATGGATATTCAAGAAGAAATATCATCCTGATGGATCCATATCTACTTATAAAGTGAGGTTGGTTGCAAAGGGCTATAGGCAGCGAGAAGGGATCGATTATTTTGATACCTATGCCCCAGTTCCTAGAATTAGTTCAATTAGGACTCTCATAGCAATATCAGCTTTGAAGGGATTGTATATTCATCAAATGGATGTGAAGACAACCTTTCTGAATGGTTATCTCAAAGAGGAGATTTACCTGGAGCAACCTGAAGGTTTCATAATACCTGGACAAGAAAACAAAGTATGTAGACTTGTTAAGTCTTTGTACGGGTTGAAACAAGCTCCTAAACAGTGGCATGAGAGATTTGACACCACTGTGACTGCCTTTGGTTTTCAGCACAATAGTGCTGATAGATGTATTTACTCTAAACATACATCTGATTACATAGTAGTTATATGTCTTTATGTTGATGATATGTTGATCATTGGCACTCACCTAGAAGGTATTCTTGAGACGAAGAAATACCTATCCTCGAACTTTAAGATGAAAGATCTTGGAGAAGTAGATACTATTCTTGGTATCAAGGTGAAGAGGACGGGTAGTCAGATTTCTCTGAGTCAATCTCATTACATAGAGAAAATTCTGACAAAGTTTCAACATTTGAACATTAAGGAATTTAACACTCCTTTTGATTCAAGTGTGAAACTTAAGGTGAATTATGGTCGAGCCGTGGCCCAACTAGATATGCTAGTGCAGTTGGGAGCATGATGTATGCTACTCACTGCACACGACCTGACATCGCATTCGCTGTAAGCAAGTTGAGTCAGTATACAGTTAATCCAGGGACGGAGCACTGGAAAGCAGTGGGTAGAGTACTAGGATACCTGAAAAGGACAAGTACTTTTGAATTGACATATTCGTCATCTAATGGAATACTTGAAGGTTATTCTGATGCCAGCTGGATTGATCACACCAGTGATTCAAAGTCCACAAGTGGTTGGATTTATACTCTAGCTGGTGGTGCTATTTCTTGGGCGAGCAAGAAACAGACATGCATAGCTCATTCAACGATGGAAGCTGAGCTAATTGCCTTAGCAGCAGCAGGCAAAGAGGCAGATTGGATTCGAGATCTACTTATGGATATACGTTTGTGGGATATTCCGATGCCTTCAATACCCATGTACTGTGATAGTGAGGCCACACTGTCTAAAGTATATAATGCGGTATATAATGGGAAGTCAAGACATGTAGGTCTGCGTCACAATTTTGTGAGACAACTAATTGAAAGTGGTACCATCAAGGTTGTCTATGTCAAGACAAGCAGGAACTTGGCAAATCCGTTTACCAAACCTATGACGAGAGATTTGGTTACATCTACCACGAGAGTCATGGGTCTAAAACCACAATAGAATCGTTTAGTGATGGAAACCCAACTTGACATTAGTGCTCCTAATTTTCAAGTTTAAAGGGTAACAACGAAATCACTAACGATAGAAGGTACTATCATTCATGATAGATCCATGTGAGGTAGGATAGTGCGTCGTTGCTGAGAATGAGGTTGAGTTACGACTCTTAACGTAGTTTTGGAGACATCTAAGCAACGAAGATGTTGTAAAACTATGCCTATACGATCTAGAGGTGGTGCCGCCTCAAGTGAAGATTAGTGGTTTATCTTCTAAAGGGTCATGAAAAGGATTTAAAGCGCATGGCCATAATAGCGCTCAGGGAGAACACAAATATGACTTGTGGTGTGTGGGGTAAACTGGAGAGGTCATTGAGGTTCATGGTTTAAACCTATAAGGATATCATTGAATCGGTCTCTTCTTGTTTGTTCTCATTAAACTAGGGTTTAATCTTCGTGACACCCAAGTGACATCATCTGTCTGAGTGAAAGGAAACTTGCCAACTTGGTGGGGGATTGTTGGAACTTTATATATAAAGGAATTGCAAGTTGGCAACTTCCTTTGTATCCCACATTGGTGGGGGGAAGAAACCTTTATGGGTTTATAAGCCTATTCCCTTGTTAGGCCTTCAAAGGCTTTAGTAAATCAAGGGAATGGGCCAAGCCCACGCGCGCGCCTAGCCTAGCCTAGCACTAGCCGACGCCGCGAGTGCGCGAAATGGCGCGATTTAGGCGCACTTTGCACGACGCATCGGTCGCTGGGAGCTGAGGAGCTTTTATTTTTGACGAGTTCGGGTCAAGCCGGTTTGACAGCCATTTGATGCCTTCTAGGGTTACGATAACTATAAATACAGCTCCCTAGGAGCCATATAGAACTCACGAAAATCTGAAAGCTCTCCCTCTCTCTGCGGTTTTTTCTTCTAGTTTCCGAGTAGTCGCTTTGTGTTTGTCGATTTCCAGTACTGTTGGAATATCGATCTAGCTGCATTAAATCCTGGGGTTTTACTCTGTTGCTTACAGCCAATACAAGCGAAGTAAAAACCTTTAAGGACAGGAATCTGATCCGTACAGTTGCTTCAAGATCAAGTCAGCAATCAACAAGTCGGTTTACTTTTCTGTCTTGTGTTTAATTCGTCCAATAACAGGACAGTCTTCTTCTACTTTTCTTATAATCGGATCTAATCCAGAAGGATAGATCTAGTTTTGGATGAAACTCGGTAATATAATAACAATAATTGGATCTATTATTTGCAACTAATCGACATATAATTCTCAATATTATTTGTCGGTTTCCTTGCGTGTTTATTAGTTTGTTTTATACAACAGTGTCTGTAGTGATACACGAGTCATAACAATGCATGCACACTATACTCATATAACGTCAAACTCGCCATTCCATTCCCCGATTTACAAGTTTTACTAATCTCCTTTTTTGCTCAACTATATTTTCTTCATGAGAATTTGGAAATCCATTCCTTCAACTCTTTTCTGATTACCAGGCAGCTTCTTTCAACTATTTTTCTTAAGATCTTGTAGCTTAATGTCCTTATTTCTATGGATAAACAATGTTATTGGGTTGGTTTATGTGTTGTCCTTGTTGGTTTTTGTATTCTTTGTGTTTACTTGCATAACACACATTGTCCTACTAAACTCGAAATTATCACTCAATGTTGATTCACTTATTGAGATCTTACAAGTAGATCAATGTATGAAAATCAGGATAACCAACTCCAACTATATATGCTTACATGTTTTCTTCTTTCTCGAATCATGTTTATTGTTGTGTATGCAATTCTTACTTATGGAGTTGTGGTTACAATCAAAATCATCATTCTTCGACTCTGTCAAAAGTATATAGAAGTGATGATTCGAATGGTCTTCCTTGACGGTATAGTTACATTGAGAGAGAGTTTGATTTGGGTGTAGTAACACTCTTGTACTAGTATTGTATGTTTTTAGCATGTTCCGAGTTTTATTTTGGTCTGATTTTGATGGTCATGTCAGTATTAATTCATTTAGTTTCCTTAAAGGTTATGCCGAAATTTCGGTAGAAATATTAAAATATTTGTTGACGTTGCTAGTTTACTATGGTTGTGTGAGTTTGTAACTCGGGAATTGTTTATCATTTTAAAAATGTTTTTGTTGGGACCAAATTTAATAAGATTTAACTTTATGTAACATGATTGTTTTTTAAATTACTACATTTCAATTGTATAAATGATTGGGTGCTATAGTTTTATTAATATTTTTTTTTTCTATAAGATAATTTTCTTAGACACCTTGTTTAAAAATTGAAGTGGACGTTGGAATAGTAAACATGGGATTTAAAACAAGTTTCACTTTTCCTTGACGCCATTTGGAATAATATTCATTTGTTTTTTCTTTTTTTTTTTAGACAATAGACTCTTTTATTTAATAACATGTAAAGAAATATAAAGGGAAAAAGAATTAAGGAGACAACTAGCGTGAACAGAATCATGTTGATGTTCTTTGATGATACCAATGCTATTGTCAAAGGAAATTCAATTCTTAATTACATTACATATATTCAAGTAATCAAAATTGACCGACATATATAAGAGGGGATTGGGTCATGGAGAAGGTTGAAGGTGGAAGATTGTATTACACACATCGTACTTTAAATAAAAGCTAGAGATTTTAATTTTGACAGTTAGCGGGTAAACTTATAGGGGAAGATTTTGAACATGTGTTATGGGTTTCTACTTTAAAGTTTTTTGAAATGGATATAAAGCTGAAGAGACACATTACAAAACCAAACAAGCAAAGAAGCAATTCACGAAGAAGGTTTAGGTAACCCCGTTATTATTACTTATTAGGTGTTGTATCTTTTTTAATGTGTTACTCTTGCTATTATTATCTAAACTTGCGTCTAACATCATGTCAAGAATTAGAACAGATCTAAAATCTGTTGCCCAAGAATAATACACAGCAAATTGCACACACACAAATGAGACAAAAAATTCTGAATTATAATTTATCTAGTCATTTTTCTGAAAAAAAAAATTAAATTAAAAAAACAAAAAAAATGGATTTTAGCTCGGTACACTACATACATGTCTACGTTAAATAAGATAAGTGTATCTGTATGGATGTGATGTTGGTTATTTGTTTTTTTATAAGCTACGGAGTACGTTTAAATCTTAAAACACGCGTTACAAAAGCAAACAATTGAACTAGTGTTTACAATAGAGAAGCAATTCAGGAATCACGACATAGGTAATCTAGGTGTTGAATGTATTAAATCTTGTTTTCTTCAATCAGATTTACTATATTTTGATCTAACTAACTGATTGGTTACAGAGGAAATCAACCTAACATTGAATGGAAGTGAAGTCTGGAGCAGTAGATCTCTTTGGGAATACTTTAAATTCTCTACTTGATTGTACAAAAAATGGAGAGATTCTAAGCAAACAGGCGCCACCAACAATTTACATGGTTCCTAGTGCGGTCCGAGATCTGAGACCAAGTTCTTTTACCCCTAGGGTGGTCGCTATTGGACCTCTTCACAAACATGATGAACATTTGCAAGGATTTGAAGTTCAAAAAACAACTTATTTAAATAATCTGTTGCATCGTTTCCGTATGGTGCCAGAGCAGACATTGGGAACATGTGTGGAGAAGGTGATTGGTTCAATAAAAAAAAATCAAAGAATGTTATGCAGGGTTGACCTCCTATGACGATTTGGAGCTTGCTAAGATGATGGTGATTGATGCTTGTTTCATACTTGAGTTCATTAGTGTTTTAGACCGGGTACCATCCAGGACAAGCTCATTGATTGTTCAATCAATAGCTTTAGACCTGATTATGATCGAAAACCAAATTCCGTATTTTGTTCTTGAAAACATCTTTGAGTGTACTATTTTAGCATCTGGACAGATGAGAGAGGGGGCCTCACTTACTACGTATATCAAAGTACTTGTACGTCTTTACTACTTCATTGAAGGAAAGGTAGAAGTAGTACGCGATGCTTCGGCTCCTGATCATATTCTTGGCTTTCTACACAAATGTTTCCGGCCTGCTGAATCGATAACATCAGTGGGTATGTCAATTATAAAACGCCACACAGCCATGGAACTGCATAGGGCAGGGATGAAGTTCAAACCTTATGAAGATGAAAATTGGGCACTGGCCATGAAACTGGAATTACCCTTACCTTTGTTTCCATGGTTCCATAATTTCATTGCCTTTCCCCAATTTTCATGGTTCCGACCACCTACTCTGAGGATGCCAAAGGTGATGATAAGCGATGAAAGCGAATATATTTTAGGGAACCTAATTGTCTATGAGCATACTCAGTTACATGTTGAGAGATATGTTACTTCATATTTACTTGCCATGGATATGCTAATCGATACTCCAGAGGATGTTGCCCTGTTGGTAAAATCAAAAGTCCTTGTAAGCTTTTTTGGTTCGAATGAGGAAGCTGCAGATATGATAAACAAGTTATGCAAAAACATTCAGTTCCTATCGTATTACAATCAACAGTGGGAAGAAATGGATGCCTACTACAATAGTTACTGGCCCAATACTCTTGCAGGGTTGAAGCGTACATATTTCAATAATCCATGGAATATCATTGCTCTGGTTGCTGCATTTCTCCTGTTTGCTCTAACTGTGGTTCAGACCATCTTTTCCATCAAGTCCGCATATGGGACCAGTGTAGCTAGTAACCACTAGATGTTTACTGTTTATTATTTTTTTTTTTCCTACTTTCGTTGTACCATTGTATGCATTTTCTTTCTTTTTCCTCTGTGTAATCAAGTCTCTCACATTCATCATGTATAAGTTGTATATGTCAGATTTCAATTGAACGACAAGAACGATGAGTAATCAAATTGATGCAATAAGTTCCTTGGATATCTACCTATATCATAATCTCTTGTACTATTTTCTTTTATAGTATTTCTATTTGACTAAACTGCACAAATGGTCCCTGTGGTATGTTGAAAAATGTCACTTTGGTCCAAAAAGGTTTGGACTAGCACCAGTGGTCCAAAACTTTCATTTTGTTGCGTCTTTGGTCCAATATGTTCTGATTATTTTCAAAATGATGGAATTGCCCCTATTAATATGATTTTCTCTTTTTTCTTATTTCCTTTTCTGATTTTCTGATTAAAAAAAAACAAGAAAACAAAAATAAAAATCTCTCTCTTATTTCTTTTTCTGATTTTCTGATTTTCTCTTTTTTCTTATTTCTTTTTGTGATTTTCTGTTCTTGGACTAATACCCACGATCACCTTAAATCCACACATTTACACCATTGTTAGAACAAACATCACCAACCTCTGCCTTTCACCTTGGACCATGACTAGCAGCCACCGAGGACCACCCATAGCCACAACCGAACTATTGCTAAGGAGTTTCGATAACCAGCCACCGATAGTGAGTCCATCGGAAAACCACTTGGGACCACCGGAACATCACCGCTGCCACCACCCATCTACCTTCCAGTCATCGCCGATTAACCCACCACCCATAACCCTCTCCTTCTCCCCCCCCCCCCCCCCCCTCTCATCAAACCCGTCGGAACAGAAAAGTAAAAGCAGCAAGGCTACCATCACCTCCCTCCATCGCCGTTGATGTGGAATCCCATCGGACACCATCAACCTCTTGACACCCCCACCATTTTCTACCATTGGTAAGCCACTACCACTCTCTCTCTCTCTCTCTCTCTCTCTCTCTCTCTCTCTCTCTCTCTCTCTCTTTATATTCTTGCATTGAGCCCCACTGTCGATTACAACAGATCTGTGGCTCGAATTTCAAATTTATTCATATCGGTTTTTCAGATCTATTCAGATCATTGGTTGAAGTTTGATTGATTTTTCAGATCTATTTAGCGCTACCCCCATTCTCGGTTCGTCCTCGTTACTACCCTTGCTGCCTCCTGTTTTGCTTTCCTTCCGACAAGAATGAAGAGAAGGGAAGGGAGTTGGGTTGGGTTTGATCGGTAAAGGAAGTGGGAGAATAGAGGGTGGTGGGCAGATGCGGAGGTCATGTGGTGGAGCAAGGTGGTCCTCGATGGTGTTGGGGTATTTGTTGGTGTCGCCGGTGGTCAGGGAATGAAGCAGCAACGAGGGGAAGAAAAGAAAATGAGAGAGAAAAAAGGAAGTGTTCGTTTATGGGGAAGGAGATAGAGAGAGAGAGAGAGAGAGAGAGAGAGAGAGAGAGAGTTTTAAATAAATAAATAAAAGTGAAAAAGTAAAATGTAAGGGTAAAATCGTCATTATAAAAAAGTTCAAAGCAAATTAGATCAAACTTGCAACAAAATGAAAAGTTTGGACCTCTGATGCTAGTCAAAACTTTTTTGGACCAAAGTGGCAAATTTCAGTTAACCACAGGGACCATTTGTGCAGTTTTGTCTTTCTATTTTGATCTTGTTTTGAATAATAGAATTAGTTAATGCTGCTATGATGTTTGAGAATGTTCAATCATAATTTTTGAAATGTTTGATAGAAACCAGAGAAATTGGGGGCTTATGGTTGTTGGGTTTTTAGCCCATGAGTAGAAAACCCACAGTCCTATTGGCCCGTCTTCATTTATCCCATGCATATATTTAAATTTCAGCCTTCCTTTCAATTATGTATCGGTTTTCAGCCTTCATGGGTGATAACATAGAGAATTCTGGGGTTTATTCATTTCCTGGTTTGGAGACCAACGTGCGGTGTTTGGTCATTTCCTGAAGATTCACTGGTCCGTTTGCTTTAAATTTTTGACAGCAGCTTCCTAACATCCATACAAAGGTTTATTGGTCACTGCTTTTGTTTGATCCTGGACTACAACAATTGTTTGTTGAATATTCTTATAGAATGAAGTACATTTATTCTCATGAGAATGAATCCCATTTTTACAATATTAGTTGTTCTTTAAAGAATGTGAACAAAAAGAATGAAAATTGAAAAATGCAATTCGACTTTCCTAAAAGTGTGTGGTGTCTTCGTTATATATATATATATATATATATATATATATATATATATATATATTATATATATATATATATATATATATATATATATATATATATATATATATATATATATATATATATATGGGAAAAATGAATATACATTACAACTCCACCTAAGCTTAGGTACTAAACCTCTTGAAAATACATTGTTTTACTATGTAAAAATTACGGTTAATGGATTCACGATTAATACTTCAAGATGTAAATTCAAGCTCGACACAATAGGGTTTAGGGTTTAGAATTTAGGCTTTAGGTTTTAGCGTTTAGAGTTTAGGGTTAAGGTTTAGGGTTTAGGATTTAGGGTTAGGGTTTACAGTTTAGGGTTTAGTGTTTAGATTTAGGGTTTAAGGTTTAGCTTTAGTGTTTAGGGTTTAAATTTAGGGTTTATGTTTAGGTTTAGGTTTTAGTAATGTTCACTTGGATGAAGTAATAAACGATAATTGAGGAAAGAAAACGGAGATGATAAAACGATAATGAAAGAAAGAAATGTTATGGAGAATGATATATTACCAAGTGAAACCAAACCGGGTATATTTAGCATGTTAAAGCAACATATTTTAGAGGTTTAGTATCTAACCTTAGTTGGGGCTGTAATGTATATTCCTATCCCATATATATTATTATATATATATATATATATATATATATATATATATATATATATATTATATATATATATATATATATATATATGAGTAAGATCAAATGTGAACACCTAAAAGGTTGAGAACACGAGAACAGATCTGGACCATTTAATTTTTAAGATGTGTGGCTATAATTAATTGTTATTTTTCTAATTATTAATACATTTAAAAATTAAATTTCAAATTAAAGAAAATTATAAAGGGTATTAAGGTAAATAAACATTACCCTAATTTTGTAAACTCCTATAATTACTCTCTGCCTCTCTATTTCGTTGACCTAATTTTGCAAACCTTGAAAAACCCTCAGCCCTCTCTCAGCTTCCTGCCTCTCTGTGCGCTTCCGCCCTCCTCCATCCCCACCACTCTTCCGCCATCATCAGTCGCCCCTCACCCTTGCTCCGCCCTTATTGCTCATTGGTGTTGCCTGCCGCCGTAAAGTTAGAAAGAGGTATTTTTTAACTTTTAATTTGGAAATCTATCATCCCTACTGCTATTTCGGCGGTTGCGCTTCTCGTTGGTGCTCTCTGGCATCATGTAGGAGCAAAGCATCGGTCTGGTCTACAGGGGAATCCCCTATTCCCCTCTCCCCTATCTTGTGGAACATATACCTGTTTTCGATTTGTGTTGAAGCTGTTCAGATGTAAAAGATGGCTCAGACCACCGAGGGTGCGTCTGAGATTGTGGAGGGTGTAAGGTTCAGTTTCATAACTGATGAAGAGGTCAGGTTACAAACCCTATTTTACTTGACAGTGTTGGAAGACCAATGCCAGGAGGATTGTATGATCCTTTGTTGGCCCCAATGGATGAACAAGCACCCTGTAAGTCATGTGGGCAACAATCATTTCAATGCCCAGGGCATTGTGGTCACATTGATCTTGTTTCACCAGTATACAATCCATTGCTTTTTGATATGCTTTTCACTCTTATAAGGAAAACATGCTTCCTTTGTCGCCATTTTAGAGCAGGAAAAGAAGAGGTCAATGTTTGTACGTCTAAACTAATGAAGATAGCAAAAGGTGATGTTTCTGGGGATAAAGATTATGTTATCAATAATTCAGATGCCAAAGACATTGATCTAGAGGACAATGATGGTAGCCATGGTTCAAGTTCCATATTACATTCTGGTTCACAAAGTGAAATGAGTTGTATGTAGAGGTGAAGTCGGAGGTAGAAAGCTGTCTATCTTATCTAAAAGAGAAAAAGATGGAATGATCCTTATTGGAGTATATTATCACGTTTGGTTTACCAGCTCACACATGGCCCTGAATCTGAAATCCCAACATTTGAACCCTAAAATTCATTTACTTATCACAATTTATACAAATCATATTCATACGGGACTTGTGCTACGTATGGTTTACAAGCTTACTATTTGAAAGAGATGCAAAAACACAATCATGCCCTCATTATAATCATTTATGATTATAACAACATATGTTTTCTACTAATCATTCATTTTAATATTTTGTTGGTATTTTTATTGTCTTTATATGTTATTGTTATTTTTGTAGATATTAATCAAAGAAAAAGGAATGCTAGAATTCTTTAGATTTTGTGCCTGCTCCTACTCGTTACACAAGCTCGTGCGCCATTTGATTCAAAGAGAAGGAAGGGGTTGTGACCAATTCAAGAAAATAACTGATATAGGGATGAATTTTGCAAAAAAAAACATTCATTTGAAGTGGTTTAATCATTGTTGAATATAATTATGTATAAATGTATCAAACTAGTCTTGGGATATTCTTTTATGAATATAAATATATAAATGTATAAACTCAATCTTTGAAAATTTTATTTTATGAATATAATTTTTAATGTGTTAATTTTTTTTATTTGTCATCATATTCATGTATGATTAGTAATTTATTTTTATTCATTTATAAATGTTAATGATTTATTATTTAGGATTACAAACATATATTTTTATAATTACAAATGTTTTATTTATATATGATTGAAATTATTTTGATGAATAGTAAATTAGAAAAAAAAGGATTTTTTATTTGACAAAAAAATAGTATAAGTTATCTTTAATATCCATTAATAAAAGAAATAAAAAAAATCGGTTCATATTTTATTTTAGGTAGATAATCATTATCACTAAATTTTAGGAAATTAAGATTTGAATTTAATTTGATTTTGTTTAAAATAAATAAACAATTACTAATATACCCTTATAATATGATTGGTCCAGAAGTGTTCTCGCGTTCTCAACCTTTTAGGTGTTCTCATTTGATCATTTCCCTATATATATATATATATATATATATATATATATATATATATATATATATATATATATGGTTAGGTTATTTTGTTTTTACTAAGTATTGTGTGCCAGAATGCACAGATCTGGACCAACGGATGAAATTAATCAATGGACATGATTTGAGAGTGTATGATATTACAATAGGGTAACATGTACCATATAATCACATAATTTTAGGAAAAGGGTATTTTGGACAATTAACTACATTTATAAAAGGAAATTTTCTAATTTTTAGGGATGATTAATTCTCCTAATTTAAAAAAAATCTGAATTTTTTAATTAATTCAATTTCAATTTTTACCGATTTTATTCTATCAAAATATTTTTTGTTAGAATGATACTCTTTCAGAATTTTATTCTAATAGAATATTATTGAAGAAAACCAAAATTCATGAATAAGATAATGAAAAATAACAAACATTCTAATATATTCTTATACATCCGAACTTAAATACAAATTCATACATATTCTTACAGACTAAAAGTCTTATACATTTTAAATATAGTTATAAATATTCTAAAAGAATATCAACAAAAATGAATAACATTCTTAAAAAATAACAACATTCTGGTAGAATACTCTCGTTCTTCATGTTTTCTTCTTGAATTCTTGAATTCTGAAAGAGTGTTGCTGTTTTTGGATGTTGAATCCTGAAATTCTAAAAGAATATTGTTGTTAAGAATGAAGTATCACATATCTTTTTTTTCATAAGTTACCTCATCATTCCTGCATCATCCTAACATACATTAAATTCCAACAGAATATCTAAATCATGAATATTTGAAAGAAACACATGTTCCCGCTTACATCACCACAAAAAATACACACCAACTTTTAGCTTTTCTTTTCTTCTTATTATCTACAAAACTCAGAAGTTTTTACTTTTTTATATAATTTTACTCAATTCAAATGGTTTAGAAAAACAAAACAACTAAAGCATGGTTGAAAATTGGAATCGATTCAGATATTCTTTTGGAATTTAATGTATTCAGATATTATCTTGTCAAATCTCAGATAATAGAATATTGTAATCAATAAAGAAAATAAGATACCTGATTGAGTTTTAAATTAACTTTTATTTTGTTTCAACATGTGTTTCCTTTTGATTGACAGTCAATGAATCACCAAAGAAGCAACATCCAGTTTCCTTATTTCTTCTTCTAAGTATCATGTTCCAGTCAAGAACACGGTGTTGTTCATGACAAATCAATCAAGAAAATGGGGCATCAAACCTTCATTGCTTCTCCTTCATTTTCCCTGTCAAAACACCAAAGCTCAAACACCCAATCCAAACACCCATGGACTTCTTTCAAAACTCAAATCCATATCCCCTTCATTATATTGATTTTCCAGGAAAACCCAAACACCCCAATGATTTCTATTAAACATCAAATAAAAAAGAGAATTTTTTTTACCTGATTGATGATCAACGAAATGTGGAGATGAAAAAGATTTGGAGAAGATTACAGAGAGAGGTTGGTTCTAGGTCATGCTCCGCTGCAGTTTGAGGAACGGAGACCTTTTTTGGGTATAATTTGTATAATCCGATACCTGATTCGAAGAAGGACAAAGACGGGGCAATCAGAGGGGGAGCTTTGTATAGTAAAATCCAATCTAAATCTTTAAAATCGATCATTGGAGATTGACTTTGAGAAACTACGGAAGAAAAATCTGAGATTGTGTGGGAAAAAACATCATCTCCGTTGGTATCTGTAAACAGTTGTAGTCAGGGAACAGTAAACGATTCTCGTGCTGTCGGGGCAAACCTCCTGCGGCCAGTTAAAGACCGGAGACCCTTCCCTTACTTCCCGTCGATCCTCGATTTTAGCCTCACTTCCCTTCATCCTCTTCTCTTCCGATCGCAAAGCCCCTCCCCTCCAGATTTCTTTTTCTCGGCCGATAGCAAAAAGGGAACCAACGCCTAACACAATGGACTTGGACGACTACGGTTAGTTTATGGCCTTTTATGGTAACTGTTCCATTAATTAAGGAGTTTTCTATCTATATAAGAGAATTATTCTTGGTTTAATAAATGAAGGTGATGTAAAGTGACAAAATTACCCTTATATTATTTTATAATAATTTTATTATTCCTAACTTTCTATTGGTGCATTTATGCACACAATAGTTGTTAAAAACATTTGAACCTAACTCTCTCTCTCTCTCTCTCTCTCTCTCTCTCTCTCTCTCTCTATATATATATATATATATATATATATATATATATATATATATATATATATAGGCTTAAGTTATTGTATTCTAACAAATTATAGCGCGGATATCATATGTTATGATAATTACTAAAAGAATAAGTTGTTTAGCAATGCGAATACGTTCAACCTTATAAAAATATCGTCATTTCATGCATTATCGCTAATTGTTATTTATTTTTGTTCTCACACATCGTTTTTCACTCTCTGACAGAATACGACCCAATAGAACATTCTGACAGAAATAAGAATAATAATAATAAGTGTATAATAACATTATAGACGATTTAATTAGTGAAAATGTGTTAATGACAATAGTTATGTAAGATTGATCGTATTTATATTATCAAACAACATATTTTTTTATCATTCTTATAGCATACAATATCTCTATAATAATTAGTTTGAATACTTGAACCTAACTTTCTCTGTGTCTTTCTCTCTCTCTCTCTCTCTTTCTCTCTCTATATATATATATATATATATATATATATATATATATATATATATATATATATATATATATATATATATATCGACATTTACTATTTAATTAGTATAAGAGAATACAAATTTAACCGGTAGGAATCATGTACACTTTTATACTTTTGCATTAGGATTTATCATGTAAGAAAATCACAAAAACAATGTATCTTGTTTGATTAGAGGAGAAAACAATTTGATGCTCACCATTGTCTCTCTACCTCTTCATGTGTTTCTTTTATGAGGCAAACGACACCTAATTGTCTTCTTAAATGGGAAAAAGGGTTAAGGGTGATGAGTATGAGTGAAATAATTCGCTGTAAACTGATTTTAGAGTCGAAATTGTTTTCATATTGAATTTAGGTTATCGAGTTTGAATATCGAAAGATCGACGGTAGCTGAATCTTGACAGATTTGAAATCGATTTTGTCCTATGATATATGTTCAACTTCTCAATCGATTTCTTCTGTTGTTCTTGAAGGGAAAACCTAGAAAATAGATTGGTTGTGTGTGTTAAAGTGAAAACCTAGAAAACCCAGTGTGTGATTCGAATTTTATGTGTGTGTATGTGTTGAATAACAAACCCAGATATAAAGAACATTTGTGCATCTTCATCATCATCTAACAAGAAAATAAAGAACATTCGTACATCTTCATCTTCATCTAGGTTTCCATCCATGTGAATTGATTTCCATGAAAGAATAATAGATCCTACTCAAAAATATGAACCCATGTGAATCGTTTTCCAAATATTATGTGTATGTGTTGAAGAACTCGATTGTGGATTTTTCAAGAACAAGAACAAACAATTATGGAGAGAGAGAGAGAGAGAGAGAGAGAGATAGACCATTTTCTATTATATATATATATATATATATATATATATATATATATATATATATCAAGGTTGTAAAAATCGCTCGACGGTCGACTGACGATAAGCGATTAATCAAACTCGGCGGGGATTAATCGGCGATTAATCGGGGACCCTAAATTATTAATAAAATTATTTAAAAAATTAATATTTCCTAAAAAATTAAGTATTTTAAAATTTTAAATTTTAAAATTTTAGTATAATATTTTAAAATTTGAAAGCTTAAAATTTTAAAATTTTAAAATTTTAAAATTTTGGTGTAATATTTGAATTTTTTAAATATTTCCCGCCTATGACCGCCGAGGACCGCCAAGCCCGATTTTGACCAATTTCCGTCAAGCATCCTAATCGTAATCGGTTCGAGGCCGCCAAGCGATTAATCGTCGATTACTCGGCCGTCAACGCCGATTTCTACAACACACACACACACACACACACACACATATATATATATATATATATATATATGTATGTATATATATAATAGAGAAAACCTCATAAATAGTCCCTAGTGTAGTGAAATGATGAAAATGTCTTTCATTTAACGGTAGAAAGCTGACATCCTCATTAAAGTGTTAAAGTGAAAACCTAGAAAACCGAGTGTGTGATTCGAATTTTATGTCTGCATATGTGTAGAATAACAAACCGGAATATAAAGAACATTTGTACATCTTCATCTTCATCTTGGTTTCCATCCATGTGAATTGATTTCCAAGAAAGAAAAATCGATCTCATAAAAATATAAACCCGAGTGAATTGTTTTCCAAATTTTATGTGTGTGTATGTGTTGAAGAACTCGATTGTGTATTTTCAAGAACAAGAACAAATGATTATGGAGAGAGAGAGAGAGAGAGACCACTTTCTATTATATATATATATATATATATATATATATATATATATATATATATATATATATATAACATAGAGAAAACCTCATAAATGGTCCTTAGGAAAGTGAAATGACGAAAATGTTTTTAATTTAACGATAGAAAGTTGACGAAGTGAGTTATACTAACCAAACATCAAAAGTTTTGAAGGCATATGAACAATCTGTGAGGTTTTTTAAACTTAAGGACTAAACTTCAGATTTCATAATACCACATGGACCATTTATGAAGTTTTTTCATAAAACAATTATCAATTAATGGATATTTAAATATAACAAAACAATCTTTCTCTCAAGAAACTAAGTTGTTATTTTTGTATCATAACACAAAAAATATATAAAGAGAAAAGTATGTTAGTATCTAGCGTGAAAAAAATGACCAAATTTGCTTTTTCTTTTTGCATCGGGTAACAAAAATTGACAAAGAAAATCACGTTAGTGTGCACTGCAACACCAGACATAGACATCAAAAGTTATAATGCTGATCAACTTAATTGTCGATAATTGTATTACATTATTACCTGTATGGTCTTTTAAAATTATGAGTATAATCATTTTCTGGTGAAAAAATAAACTATGATAAAGTTGACTCCAAACAACCATAACTTATTTTATAGTGAAATATTTTCAGAGGGTAAATGTCACTGTAGCCCAACAAACTTACGTGTTTTGGTTTAAAAGGTCCCTCATCTTATGTTTTGCTTTCTAAGGGCATCAACTTGTATTTTACTTGCCAATCTGGGTAAACAACCCATTATAACCGGTTAGATCTGCCAAATAGGTTAGAAAATGATGACATGTAGCCTCGTCAGCAATACTTGGAGCCTAGTAGACTTCTGCCTCGTCAGTAACTTTGGGGATTAATCTAAGCACTCCTTTCTCGATCGAGCTCCTCACAACCACCCCTCAATTGTTGTTGTTCAATTTCCGATGAACCTTCCGTCCCCTCCTATGTTGCAGTCGATCGGACCAGAAGAAGATGGAAGTCACTGGAGCAGCCCTAGAGTGTCGGCTCCCCTCCTCGTGACCTCCCAGCCATCGCCGAAGATTGAAGCCCTCCCCGTCTCGCGATCGCCAGCCAACGTCAGAGTTCCCTAGCGACTTCAACTATACATTCGTTACCTGATCGTTGAGGATGGAGACAGACTGCAACCGCCTACTACTTCCGTCTTCCTTCCTCGACCGGTGCTCGCTGATCAGCCACAAATAATCACCACATCGTTTCCTGTTTCCGTCCGCATCAATTTCCGTTCCCGATCTAATTAAAATGAAGGCCCCCAATTTGTATATATTAGTGATCTAATGAAGATGATTATTCAGTCTAATACCTAAACAAATTGGTGGTGAACAAAGGGAAATAAGGGTGGCAATTGGTTTCTAGGTAATAATTATTCAATTGAGACACACACACACACACACACACACACCGTCGTCGATCAGATTTGATTTTCATGATTAGGTTACACTGTCAATAACAAAGAAGACGAAGAACAACAAATAAGACGAAGAACAGAGTGAATAATGTTGATTGAAATCGAAGAGACACCGTTGCTCTCTTTTCTGATTTAAACCTCCGATTTGTTGTGATGTAATTCATACAAAATGAGAAGCAGATGGAGTCTTCGTTGATTACATGGCCACCACTATTGAATTTAGGGTTATTATAAGTCACGTACCATGTCAATTGAGGGAAAACTTTAACAATTGACTTTACGTGCTGACTAGGAAGGGGTTCACCGGATGACCCCTTCATTTTTTTCAAAAGGAGTTTTTCAATCTTAAAAACATGAATTCGTACCCTTAGAAAGCAAAAAAAATAAGATGAGGGACCTTTTAAACAAAAACATATAAGTTTGTTAGGTTACAATGATATTTACCCTATTATCAGACTGTAGAACCAGTGTCATAGTGTTTTCATCAATTCCAAAAGGCCACTCATGCATGGAATTGGATAGGGAAGGGATGAACTTCAAGCCTAATGAAGATCAAAATTGGGGATTAGCCATGAAACTTGAATTACCTTTACCTTGGTTTTAATGGTTCGGATGGCCTACTCTTGAATTACCTTTACCTTGGTTTTCATGGTTCGGATGGCCTACTCTTGAATTACCTTTACCTTGGTTTTCATGGTTCGGATGGCCTACTCTGAGGATGCCAATTGTGTGTATAAATGATTTCACTGAATTGATTATAAGGAACCTCGTTATATATGACCAGTCTTCTGATGTTAAGAAATATGTTACATCGTATGTCTATGCCATGGATATGCTAATTGATACACCACAGGATGTTGCCCTGTTGATAAAATCAAAAGTCCTTATTAATTATTTGGATTTGAACGACAATGCTACAAATCTGATAAACAACATATGTAAAGAAGTTATGGTCCTAGATTTCTTTACTATCAACAGTGGAAAGATATGGATGCCTACTACAATAGTTACTGGGTTAATACTCTTGCAGGGTTGAAGCGGGAATATTTTAATAATCCGTGGAGTATCATTGCTCTATTTGCTGCTTTTTTACTGTTTGCTCTACAGTCGTTCAAACCATCTTCACTATCAATCCCAATTAAACCTGTAATTAATTGTTAAATTTTCATGTTTTTTCCTTATTTCGTTATCCACGCTTTTACTTGTATGTATTTCCTTTTTTCCCTTGTGTTAGCAAATCCCCCTTATTCAACATATGTATGTTTCGCTGCATTGTTTATATTTTAGCATCAAACTAGGTGTTGGTTGGAATGGATGTTGTTGGGTGGAGAAGAGGAACGGACATAGTTTAATAGTAAATTATATACAAAATTGTTTAATCGTAAATCATCTATAAAAAATATATATAAAAATTATATTTCTTCAAATGAGTTTAATAGTAAATTATGTATAATGACCACATGTATATAAAACTGATATTGCCTTATAAAGTCATTTTCCTAGACAACAGCTAAAAAAATTATGTTATTAGTTGGAGAAGACGAACAGACATAGTTTAATAGTAATAGTTTAATGGTAAATCATGAATAAAAAATATATAAAAATTATATTTCTTCAAATGAGTTTAATAGTAATAGTTTAATAATAAATCATATACAAAATGGATCTTGTTAATAGAAATAGTTTAATAATAAATCATGTACAAAATGGTTTAATGGTAAATAATGTATAAAAAGTATATTTTTTCAAATGAATTTTATAGTAAATTATGTACAATGATTACATGTATATAAAAATGATAAAAGTCATTTTCCTAGACAATAGTTAAAAAAAAATTATGTTGAAGTTTTCTAATATTTAATAATTTAATACATTGAAAATTTTATACATATGGTTTACTTGTTTATATCCCGAACAGCTAATACTCACAATTGTCTCCACTACAGACGCCCCCACAATTCTAATTAAGCTCAAGAACGCAACGCCGTGTGTTGGTATCTTTTCCTCCTTTTTGGCTTTTTTTTTTCTATCTGAGTGGTTGTCTTTGCTTGTTGAGTTCTTTCTCTGTTTGATCATCACCTTTTTTACTCAGTCTCTGACTCTTCTCCTGATTAAAACCATTTCCTCTAATTTTCTGTTTAGTTCATGCTTCCAAATTTAATGCAAAATCTGAAGTAAGTTGTCACAGATTTCAGTCTACAAATATGATTTTTTTTTTTTTTTTTTTTTTTTTTTGCCCTGATCTGATTATTTCTTCTTAATATGGTCTGACCTAATCTAATCGGACCTGATTTCCCCTTGAGTTTTCGCCCTTAGTTGATTCAATGTGCTCTAATCAGGTTAATTTTGTTAATTAACACTCCTAATTGCATTTTATTGTTATTAAAGTTGCAAATTTGGTTTGCAAAGTAAGCTGTCTGATCTCTATTTTTAGTTGACGCATTTAACACTTCGGATCCTCATATGAAAACCGTGCTATGCGTTACACTTTCCACTTATCAATGTTGTAAAGGGTCATGTAAGCCAATGATTTAGACTACAAGTTTCTAATTACAAACAAAAGTTTAGGAACTAATTAATGAAACTAAATAAAATCATACCTTTACATTCTCAAGGTGGTATTTTAAATTTCTTTCTTTTGATCAATGTTTCAGCATTTTTGTATATTTATGTTTGTCTCCTGTTTACAACTCTTGTATATTATATGGTATTTATTTCCCATTTTCTAGTATAGGAATGGCCAAGACAAGGAGTATGACTAGAAACCAGATTCATGATTCTATCAGGAAGAGGTTCAAGACCCATGACAACGCTGACGTGGCACCTTGGTCAATCCTTAACAATGATGTGCTTTTGTTAGTTATGATGCAACTTGGAGTTGTTGATTTTCTTTCATTTAGCAGAGTCTGCAAGTCATGGAGGTCATTCGCACTCTCTAACAGAAACAACTTTTTGTCATCTAGACCACCAATGTTCATATCTATCTCTCGTGATGCTAATAACAAAAACTATTTCACTATGCGCGACTTTGAACAAAAAAAGTTTAAAACCATCCTTTCCAATTCGGCTCACGTGACTTGTTACGGATTAACTTGTGGTTACTTGATTATGTTTGGAAATGAGGGCCATGATTTCTGGCTTGTAAATCCTATCACAAGACATGAACTTCATTTCCCTCCTTCCCCTTTTTATGCACTTGCTCATCCATCAACAGTCAAGGGTATCCTCGTCTTTTTACCTTCAATATCTAGGTGGGCGTTTGTTGTATCATATAGATTCACCACTAAAATATCATATTTTATAAAGGGTAAACGCGGATGGAATCATGTCTCCTCGACTCTCCCCATTCTTGATTTACATGCTTTTAAAGGGAAGATATATACGATACATGCGGATTGTTGTTTATGTGAAATGAGACTCAATCCAAAACCCAAGTTGAAATTACTCGAAACCAAGAATTTTCAAAAACCAGACTTGAAACGTCCGGAGTTTGTAACTTCGGGTGAAAAGCTTTGTATTATGAATCGCTCAAATTTGTTTGGAGATCCAAATGCGAATAAGGTTCTGGAACTAGATTTTGGTGAAATGAAATGGGTGTCATTAGAAAAAACAATAGAAGAATATGCATTTTTTCTTAGCAATTTCAACTTTTCTGCTGCTATTAAAAAAGAGTCGTGGGCTTGGGCTGATCCACGGACACAATCCAAGATCCGTGATTACTTCCTTGATGAATGCTACCTTGACCCTGATAAAACTCGACCAGACATGTTTTTTTATGCAAGGATGTGGTACTTCTCCCATGATTGTTTTAGTGTTAATCTAATAGATGAGCATTGACATGTTAGCATTCTTATTCTGTGTTTTTATGGATTACATAATTTTCATGTTTAGAACATATACTCAAGAGGTTAGGAATCACCTGTGGTAGATTTACATGTTACAACTTATTTTTAAAACAATTTGGCTCTCACGTATCTATTGCATTTTGGGTGATTTAAACTATCTTCCATATCAATTCCTAATTACAAACAAAATACCATATGTATGCCTCTGGTTTTTCACCATTTGGGTGAATCTTGCATTTGTTTTGGTGCCTTAAACAACTTCAACTAATGTGTGTATTTTTAGTTCTCATTGTGATCTCAGTGAGTTATATATAACAGGTGTCAGATATTGTTAGTTATCAATCCTCGGACCTTTTATGCTAAAAGGGGAGGTTTGAACAATTAAAGACTTTGAAATTTGAGCTATAGTAGGATGCTATTTATGGTGGGATTTTGAAAGTTCATTGTTTAAGAGGGTGGTTGTTGGATGGAACATGAACGTTAAGTGTTTCAAATTCCTCTCTCAAGATTTTATTTCAAGTGGTTTCTAAGATAGAGACCCATAGAAACCACACACACATTAGGTTAGAGACCCGGAGAAACCATGGGTTTATGAGATAGACATGAAAGTCAATTGAAAAAATAAATAAATAAATCCTAAACTGTATTGAAAGATAATTATCAATGTATGAGGATATTATACTTTAATAAATGAGAATTTTAAAATACCGTAGGAAAATAGTACAAATTTGAATAGAAACCAAATTTTAAAAATGCAATTAGAAAAATAAAAACACTAAACAATAACTTCAATATCTCAATCAAAGAGATTAAAGGTCAAGTGGCTAAAATTTAATGAATTGTTTTATTCAATAGCTTGTTACCTTAAATATCTAATAAAATCAAGTTACTTTTAAAGATTCAAATAGTTCGTGACGGGTTGATGATGTTGGTTCTTGATTCTTGAGAAGAGGGCTCGAGATTGTGATTAGGAGAAGGGGAACAAAAGCATAGTCGTTGAGATAAAATGTAGGATAAAATCGACTTGGGTGAATCGCATACATCACCATCTATTTAAGAAAAACATGGAAGAAAGTCAACATTGAGGGCAAGGGAATTAAAGATGTTACGGAAACAATATAGGTACAAAACATAGATCGAAATCACACATACACATATATACAACATACACAAATGAAAATGCAAGTGTATATATTAGTGGGGGTATGTTTGGTAAATATAATGCAGGTTTACGGGTTTACAAGCGGACTTCAGGTTAAACCATGGATCATCTTTACCTGAAGTATTTAGGTGGTTATTGCTGTAGTTTTTGGCTATTCAGTTCATTCCTTGCTTTTGTATTCACAAAAAACTCTCTCGTCTCTCTCACCTGTAGATTAGGGTTTCACAGTTAAGGTTTGTTCATATTCTTTGTTTTATGTACAACTTTCGTGTTCTGTGTAATCTGAGTGTGAGTGTGACATGTAGTGAGATTTCTGGCGTATATTGTTGATGTAAAACCATATGTTTCATAGTGAATGAAATGATGATGTTGGGAATATGTTGATTTCATGCTTTCATACACACATGCTAAATATCATCAAACACCGATGGCTGCATCATCGTTATCTAGATGACCTAACCACCAGCGTCACACAACATACCACAATCATCTAACCACCTCACAACCGAAAACTACAACTACCATTCATAGAGGACCACCTTAATCTTAAATCACCACCCACCTTCGGCTCCACCGATCCAAAAGGGACTTGGTGGATGTTGCTCTTGTTTTACTGAGAGATGTAAATTAGATTAGTGAGAGTGACTAGTTTCGACCAACGACCATATGGGTTGATCCATCCAGCACAAATGGCTAAGGATGGTAGAAGAAAGAAGATAGAGAAAAGGCTCGGCATTGGTCTTGGGGAGTTAGCGTAGTTTAAGGTTGGATGTGGAGATGTATTTGAACAGGGAGAAGAAAGAGAGTAAATATAGTGCTTTGGGGTTTGATTTAAATATACTTTTGGTAGTCAGGGCATCCACAATCCATTGAACTCTATAGAGTTCTATGGATTGCCACATCATCCATTAAACACATATTCAACAACATCCACAACCAATTAAAGCTTTTATTCAGTCCTAATCAGTAATCACCACTTCATGTCTTTTATTGAATCAATTAATGATCATTCAACTCTATCATTTAACTTTACTCCATGTCATCACCCATACGCTATTCAACTTTTATTTAGTACTAATCATCACTCGACTTAACTCTTATACTACTAAAGCTTGGGGTTAGGGATGCTGAGGCACTTCATAATTATTTTCTCCATATGTAAAAAAGGAGTTCAATTTTTTCTACATGATTGACATGGATGATGAAGGTCGTATGCAAAATGTATTTTGGGTAGATGCAAAGGTCTAGGTCAGCTTACAAGTCATTTGGAGATGTTATTTCATTTGATAGCACATCTTTGACAAACAAATATAATATGTCATTTGCACATTTTGTTGGAGTAAATCACCATAAACAATCTTTATTATTTGGATGTTTTTTGATTTCATGAGAGGATACAAAAACATATGTATGGTTATTCAAGTCATGGTTAGAATGCATGAATGGACGGGCACTAAAAGCAATAATAGCATATCAATGTCAATCAATGCAAGGAGCTATGACACATGTAGTCCGTG